TATCACAACGGTTATCATATCAGTTATCACTTCTATAATTATCGTTAACAGGTATTATTTCATTGCTATTATATGCACTTTCATTATTACTATCGTTTTTTTCTGATTATTTTCTATTCAACATTCACTAATTCATTACTTCAATCATGAATAATGATGATATCGTTGATAATGAAAATTATTATTATTTTCATAATTATTATCGTAATTGTATACATCTATTTATATTATGTTTTTATTATTAGTTTTTTTTTCATTTTATTATTAATTATTATAATATTTTTGCTGTTTTTATCATTAATTTAGTCCCAAATTTAAAAATCTTCGCAATTACACAAAAAAAAATCTCTTTTATCAAAAATTTTAAACTAATAAAAATCAAAATTACCATTTTAATATTTATTAATAGCAATAGCAAATGATATCAATAATGCAATGCTTAATGAGAGAGAAATTTTATCGATACACTTTGAGCGGTATAGATCAAAATATTACTATTATTATTATCATTTACTAGTAATCAATTAATCAATCAACTGGTCATTGATATCAAATGCTTAACAATTCAAATGTATTAGCATAGCGGCAAATGCTTTTCACAAATAAGCCAATTGTTAGGATCGTAAATATTACGAACTGACATTTCCAAACGACAGAAAGCGCTAAATTGAACTATTCATAAAGTCTCCAATAGAGATTGCTAAGAATAATAATCATCTCATTGCTGTAATTCCACAAAATTTTAAAACTTCATTGGAAAATATTTATAAACTATTGAATTCATTAATTATCATTAATTATTAAAAAGTGCTTAAAATTATAATTTGGCTTAAAGCTTAAGGTCAAAATAATTTAAAGTTAAAAATGAAAAATAACAAACGTTTTTTTTTCGAATAATTTAAATATTTGCATATCATTTCGTAATTTTTAAAATTTTAAAATTTAAATTATATTTGATTTTATATTTTACAATTTATTTTGACCAGATATATGGATTTTTATAGTATTTTAAAATTTTAAAAAGTATAAGAACAAATTGCAAAAAACGTTGTCATCTTTTTTTTTTCAACAATTTAAATATCAATCAAATTCAATAATCCGGAATGTAGTGAAAAACCCCATTTTCATGATATACTGTATCATTTAGTCCCTTTAGGATAATTTTAATGTCGTATTTGTCGCATGGCAAAATATATAATAACCCATAAAGCCAACCAAATAATTAGTTAATTTTCCTTCCTTGCTTTCTAATGATAATGTATACATCCAATCAATTCCTTTAATTTTAATCACAATCTTCTTTGACCAAATTTCATTATGCCTTCTAAAATTGGAAGAAGAACAATTTCAGTTTCCCAATCAAAATAATTAAATTTTTGATTTTGAATTTAGAAAATAAAATTGAATTGAAAATTTTAAAATGGCATATTTTACATTAACCAAATGAATTTTTTTTTAAAAAAAAAAAGGAAATGAACAAATGATAATTCTTTGATTTTTTTTTTCTTGCTAAAATTTAATTTCAACAAGCTCAGGAAACTTTAAAAATAAATAAAATTAAATGTTATTATCAAATGAATGAATTACAAAAAAAAAGCCATTTGAAAAGTAAACAAATAAAAGTATTAGTTGATAAAAAGAAAGAAAAATGTATAAAAGCATATATGAATCATTTAAAATTCCAATTCTTCAATGTTATTGTGAAATTTATGCATATGGGATGAATGAGATATGCAGATGGCATTAATTGCTTAACAAATAAGACAAATGGTAACGAACAAACAAGCAATTAAGCAAATAACAATAAACCAATTAAGCAAATGAATAGGCAAACTGATTAGTTGCAATAATAATCGAATATGAAAAAGCAAATAAGTAAATGGATAAAGTATTTGAATGATTAATTAATTAATTAAAAAAGTTGGTTATTTAATTAATCATATAATGAGAAATTTAAAATAATAAACTTAACAAAATATTCGATTTAAAAATAAGATGGAAAAAATTTTATAATTATTAAAATTCGCTAAGTTAAATAATATCAATGCTTTATTTCAACATTTAATTAATATTTTATGCTTTTTTATTTCGTATTTTTAAGAAAATACATAATCCATAAATGGAATACAGTAAAAGAAGAATGAAATGAAATATCAATTCAAGTAATAACTTATTTACTTTCCTATCGTTTGATCATTGGTTAATGAGCAAAAAACTTTTGTTCTCAAAGAGAAAGAGAGAGAGAGAGAGAGAGAGAGAGAGAGAGGAAAAAGAAGGGAAAAAAAGATTGAAAATAAGAAAATATGTACAACTGATCATAACTGTTCTTGCAAATATTTAATCGAATGAAAAGGAAAAAAGATGTTTTTCTCTCTCTCCCAAAAAAAGGAAATGATTATTGTTGTCACCATTTGGAAAGGTGACAGCATTAATGATTGTTTGATACTAAAAAATCATGAATAAAATAACTTAATTACTTTCACGTAATTAATTAACATATCGCTAATAAGATGTATAGCTTGCTGTAAACTACCTTTTTTATCATCTTAATGAGAATATGCCTAATTATTTTTTTTTTTTGATAGATTTCGAAATCTTTTTTAAAATGAAAATTGCTGATCAGTATTAATCGATGCTCGATCCGCCCAAATTTAATAATAGAGAACTTCTGACTCAGGTATTACGTACTCAGGTAATGCAATTGCGTAAAATTATTGAACTTTAACCATAACTTACCACATTTAATATTAACTTACTCTACTCTCCAACCTAGTTATTCAGTCTGTGATTTACTCACGATACACTTGACTTTATTAGATTTTACCCTCTCTGATATGTTAACCTCACCTCTACTTCACATCACTCAAGTTTAATAGAGAAGTTCTATTTTTATCATACTTTTCATACTTTACAATTGACAATCTGGTACTTTACTTTGCTTCATTATTAAACCAATTCTTTATATGTTTCACCTTTT